CTTGTATGAAAGACTCTAAAGTTGTCTTACATTTCTTAAATCAATCTGTAGCACATAATCAGTAAAACCGTGTCATTTAAACAGAAAAATCATATGCTTAGAAACTCACCCTCGTGCAGCTGTATCCTATTATGGGCTGTAACTTAACACATGAATTTCAGAAGTTGTTAAAGTTGAGTTCAGGCTAACAAATCTCAACTGTTAAAAAAAAAGCCTGTGGTGAGATGAGACAGCAGACCATGAGAAGTACCAAGATTTGATCACGAAATGGATGTCAATCAAAATTTTATTTTGATTTGTTTAATCTCATTTTCATATCAAGAAATAAATGTATTAGGGCAGATGTGGCCACTAGTGATTAAGAAACTATTTACATTACTCTATTTTGGAAAAAAATGGGGCTGATAGTTTCAATGTTAAATGTGTATTTGTTAAATTAAAAAGAACAGGTAGTGCTTAAGTCACTGATAGCTGAAAAATGAAATGAAACCTGCATTTTTCTCTTAGCATAAATTCAGATTAAAAATAGACATATCCTGTAGTAAGCAAAGTGAACTTTTAAATAGGCTTCAGTGGACACTCACAGTTTAAATGCCAAAATTAGCAGAGTTCAATTACTATAATTAAGATGTTATCATTCGTGTAAAATAAATTGTACAGCAGTGGAGGTTTTTGGGTTTTTTTCCCTAAACCATATTTTTTCAGACACACTATTCATGTAATGGAATGCAATGCAATATGTGTAGGGATTTTACTGCATAAGTACCTTCATCCTTTACATCCTACTCTGTGAAATGTAAAATCCATAAATGTATCATCAAATTTATAGATTTCAGGTAACTACTCCAGGAGGGAGAGGATGGAGAAAATATATGACTCTTGAGGATTTTTGTTCTCACGTTGCATGTATCCAGATTCATGTTTACAAAGATATTTTAAATAACTATGTAGTTTATTCCATTCCACACCCCCAAACCAAATATGTACTTTTTGACATGTTCACCTACCTGATATAATAGAATCTTTTATGCATAAAAATGTTTCCCCAAGTTGAAGAGGTAATGTAAATATGTGAGAAATTTCCTCCTACCTGTGCAATGTTTGGAGAAGTTTCAAACTTATTTTTTCATTATAAAGTTGGGGAAACATGTCAGTGAAATCTATCATGCCACTCTGTAAGGCAATGCTAGAAACTTAAGCATGCTCATGCCTTCAGTGACAACTAAGGTATTTTTTCAACAACCTGAGAATGTTTGCCTTGACTTTGGCCTTCACCTAGAGAAAGTGGTTTCTTCCCATGGGCGGGCTCACATTTACAAATCTTGTATCTTGCCTGAATGGACAAAAGGAATCTTGCTGTGAAAAAGCTACAGTTCTCCCCAGCCTGGTGTCAGGAAGTATACTTCCAACAGATGTCAATATAATCTTTTCCCGAATGCAACACAGGCCATAAACTTCCAGAACTAATCTAGGATCACCATAAACTCCAATGGTTCCCCATTGCCTACATTTCAGTGTGACTCCACCTGCCTTCTCATATTCGCCTCCACCTCCCTCAATGCATCAATTTTGTTTTTAGCATCGCCTGATCTGTCTTTAGACAAGTTGTTTTTTCTCCTCAGACATGCCCTTCTCTCTCATACCCCTGCTCATATTTGTCTATTAAATGGTTTCTCTTCTCCTAGAAAGGTTCAGTTCTCTATGTCCTCTGTTTTCCAAACAGTTATTGATCTAAAAGCCCAAATAATTTATAATCTGTTTTGTAATGACAAAGAGTTGGATGCTCAAACCCTGGCTCTTTCACTTACAAGTTGTATAGCCTTGCCTAGGTCACCTAAACATGATAATGCATCTGAGGTCCCTCACCCATCAATAACAAGAGTACCCACATAATATGGCTTGCTGTGAAGAATAAATGTTCCTAGTGTAGTGCCCATCATCACACGATAAGGACTTGACATCTGATTATTAATATGAATGGATGAAGAATGAGTCTGAAGATGGCAGATAAGCATAATATATGCTCTTGTAACTTGAAAGAGTTGAGACTAAGATTAGAATCTGAAAGTGCAACCATCTTGAAATCACGTGGTGGTCTCCTTTGAGAAAGCATATGAGGAACTGTCAAACAGTGGCAAACAAATAGTAAGCTCATATACACTCTAAGAATTGCTGACAGGGGGTGGTTTTTAGAATAGCTCATCTTTGGTTGCTAGAATTTGGACATGACACATGAAAAGAAATTGGATATTACACAAAGTCAAGAATGGAGTGCAAAGTGGAAATACACCTTAAACTTCTCTGGAGAGACAGTTTGGTGGTGCAGGGATCCCCAGTGCTACTTGATACTGGATGGTGACTTGCAGGTAGTAGTGGACAACAGCACACTGTCGATTTGTGTAAACTTCAAATGTCTTTTCATTTGAAAACTGAAATAGGTAACGTGGAGGAAATGTTACAGAATTCATCTACTTCCAGGAAAGGAAATAAAAAACAAACCACAACTTTGCCAGATGAACATCTTGTCTAAAAAAAAAAAAATGAGAGAAAGCCTTACAAAATGCCACTTACAGGGACTTCTTGGCTGAGAAAAAAAAAATTATTTAATTAAGTGAATGTTACTAATCCTACTTACACCTGTCTCAAACCAGAAAATTCTGTTGGTGCTTCTCTTAACCAACTTGAAGGAAAGCTGCAGTCAAGTCAAAAGCCAACTGAGGGCAACAGATTAATCATATAAGCATCTGCATCTTCTCTATTAGTGTTTCCAAAGAATGAAAACGGGAAAATGCCTTTGCATTATTGAGGAAAACAAAAACAAAAACAAAAACAAAAACCTCTGAGTGTTTTTATTCTTCTTTGTTTAAAAATTTTGTAGATTGTTTTTTCATCTAACAGAAAAGCAAGGTAGCAATTTTTCTTAAGGAATTGGCAGTGATATGTGCTTAGCTCTTTCTTTCTGGCAGGAAGTAATTGGACTGGTCTGGGGGCAGAGAAGTCAGGAATGACGAGGAGAGGAAGCTCAGAATCTGCCATTCAAGGCTGATGGCAGCTTTTCACAGGCTGTGTAAAACAGGAGTGTGGCAGCAGCCACTTACGGGTTGGCCAAAGAAAATGATTCCTCTTACTAACCTCTGCCATGTGCTAGATCAGTTTCCAATGTCTGGCAGAGCCCTCAGGCAGATGTTTTATGTCCTCTCCCACAATGTAAGAAAGCCCGTGCCCATTTATTCCATGAAATTAATGAATATTTGAATATTTGAATGTTTTGACGTTATAAAAAATTCTGGTACAGAAATTTGCTATTTGGCTTGGTGAAGGGCACACAACTACTAAAGCATACAACAGGTTAGAAGCAATGGAATCAATTTAGCCTCTTTGTTAATGAATGAAAATATAAAAATAGGACCCTTTTTGTTTTTTCTCCAAAAGTATGGGTAGAAAATAAAATGCTTACTTATTTTAACCCTTTTCTATTTTATTTTCTCTGCTAAAAATGCTTGCTGGAATTTAATACAGTTTAAAAAGTAGACCACGGTATTGTAGATTAAAGTTCTTAAATTCACAGTGAGCTCAGTGAAAAACTTTCCCTCTGTGTCTTTTCATTACTTCAACTAGCTAAATCCTCATCATAAGACCGCTAGTCCTATGCAATTTATCCAAAGTGTTCGGCAGGTCAAAAGACCTTTTGCTCTTCACTAGTGAATTCTGTGGCTATTGTAGGAAAGAGACATTCTTTCCTTCCCTTTTTACTTAAAGAAACATCCCAAATGTGAATAGGCTCCAGGCTAGACTGGGGGAGACAGTGATTTTTATTAGTTCTAACAGCTATTGACACTTACTTGAAGACAATATTGGGGGGAGAAAGTAAGAGAGAGACAGAGAAAGAGAGAGAGAGAGAAAGGAATTTTTACTTTATGCCTGAGAGAACAGATTGGTTACAATTTAATTTCTAAGAAGAAAAATTTATAGAATAAAATGGTCTAACATTTCTTTCTTCATCACACATATGAGAAATATAAACCAAAGGGACATCTGGAAACTAACATTATTCAGCAATCAGAAGGCAAACCATTGATGTTTGATGGAGACAAACATAACGAAATCCACAAAGAAACCTGTAACCTATTGAAGTTAAAAAAAAAAAATCCATATGCATTTTACCTTTTGGGCAGTTCCATAGCAAAGTTCTATTTCAGAAGCCCTTTGTAATATGAAACCCACTGTAGATAAGATACAACTTGAAGATAGTCTGTTTTGCAGCAGCAGGAAATCAAATTGGTTCCAGAAACAAAGTTACATGACAGATGGTTTAGTAGTATTGTTTGAATTGGAAAGCTTGATTGAATTATTTTTCATAGTCATTAAAAAAAATTTTTGAAATAACTTTGCCCTAGACAGTTAGATTTCTTAGGGAGTGTGCAGAGAGGGTATTTGCTGAGGAGGAATCTTATTTTGTTATTTTACTTAAGTGTTATAATTTGTTATCAAAATTCAAGTCCTTGGTGATGATATATGTTAGTTTTTATTTGCAAGAAAAATTTTCAGACAAACACAATACCTGGTTTAACAAAAATCTATTAATCAACATTAATAGCTTAAACAGGCTAACAAATACAGATAAATATTACTATCACACTCCAGTTATTTTTCGTTTTAATCTTAGTACCAATCAGCCTTGCTTTACTTAAATCAGCATCTGGAAAAGTTCACTACATCTTAGACAAGCCTTAGATTTTAGGTGAGACTTCTCAACGGCTAACAAGTTGTATCATTGACAAAATAACCCAGCAACTAATACCCATCGGTGAAATGAACTCATTCTCCTGACTGAAGTCAGGAAGAAGTTAAATATCGCTCTGACCATAGCACACGACTACAGAGATTTAGGAGAAATCACACTTAAATAGGATGTGACTAGGCGTTTAGGGCTATTTTCTAAAAAGTAAAAAAAAAAAACAAAACAAAACACTTTTTTCCTTTTTCCTTTTAGTACTTACAGTCTTTGAAGACTAGAGCTGGGTCTCTGTGAGGCAAGACTTGGGCAATGATATGTCTCAGGGACTCCAAGGTTCTGTCCATCTTGGGTCTGCCTGTGCGCGCTTGCTGCATAGGGTCCTCATGCCTGAATTCTTGCAGTCCTGGACTGAATTTGTGCAGCTCATTGATGCACAGGATTACCAAAGAATCCCTTTTAACATCTGCCAATCAGACATTTCCCAGAATCTAAAGATCCCTCAGGGGCCCCTCCTCCCAGGCTCACTTATCTTTTGTTGTTTGCTGAGCTAATTAGCTCTAAAGGCTGGCTGACAGGCGAGTTCCCATTGCTTCCTTCTGTTGAACACACCCACCTACAGGCTAGCCGGGGAAGCTCCGCAGTCAGGAACAGCTTTCCTCTCCAACCAGATTTTGCCTGAATGGGGTGCAGCTTTCTGACGTGGCTGTTTCTTCTGATCCCACAGTTTCAACTATGCTGCCCCAACTACTTAGAATCAAGAAGGTTGTTTCCCAAGAAAATTTCCATCGTAACAAAGAAGTTTCCAGTTCTGGACTTCCAGCTCAGAATCAGTGTAAACTGAATTCATCCTTGGTAAAGAAGAGCTATAAAGATTGTGGATGCAGGCAGGCAACAAATGGTCACTTCTATTTGAAATCAGGAACATCTTTGGGGGAACCTGTTTACTAGCCACCCCGACTCCCCTCCGCAATCATAGTCATATTTGAGGTGCATCAGCAAGTCAAATCTCCAATGCACATACTTCTTGTCTGGGGGTATTTGTTTCCCTATTTCTCTCCAAGCCAAATCATTTCCAGGATTGACTTTAATTGTGGTATCATTCACTCCTTTGATTTTATGATATTCTCTCAGTTATAGATTTCAGGAGAAGCGATATACACTTGCCAAAAAGAAAAAAAAAAGAAAAAAAAATAGCCATTAAAAGATCTTAAGAAAACAGCTTCTGGTTTCTTATATACTACATGACTTACAACAATGCTAAATGTTTTTCTGCAGGAGACAGAATTTATAGGTCATGGGATTCCATTGCAGTAGTAAGGATTCCCTCCAAGTCAAAAAAACTGATTTAATGACTACAACCTATGTGGAAGGGTTATTGAGAACCTCTTTCTTTTTTTAGAAAAATATTGTTCAAGGGTAGGCCCTGGAGATTCTTTCCAAATTCCAGATTCCATAATTATGTTGTATTATGTGATTAGCTGAGAGCAGTCCTTTAAAGATTATATAAAAATAAATGTTTTCCATGTGATAAACATCTCCAGTTTGTTGGTGAGCTTAATAAAAGGAAACAGAAGGAACAGAGCTGTAAGAATAATTCCTATTATACTGACCACACTTAGCAAGCACCCACAGGACATGCACGCCACACACAGGCAAGACACAGCCCCGCTGCAGTGCTGACAGAATTGTAAAAAGGAACTTGGAAGGAGAAACACCGCGTGTTAAGACACTTATTTAGGGTCTCACAGTGTGCTTTCGTGGGTTATTCAGAGTGGGAAACTGTGTCCCTGCCTTCTAAGAGTTGGTAATTTAAAACAGAAACTAGATGTTCTATGAACAGAAACTATTATACATTGATTGGTCACAAAGTAGAAATGAATGTGAGTGTTCTCGGTGTGTTATTGAATTGGAAGGCAAGATATTTAAGATTTTTGTTACAGAAACTGGAAAAGTAATATAAAATTTTCAAAGGAGTAAGACTGATAATATACAACACAGTAATATAAATGGACATTTATATGGTATTACATTTATTTTTTTTAAAGACTAGTTTATTTATGCTTATAGAACTGGGCTCTAGGCCAGAGGTGCAGTGGTGGTGAGAGGATTCACCAGAGACAGAGTGCGGAGCAGAACAGGCAGATTGATGAAGTACACTGCTGAGAGGAGTAGTGGGAAAGACAGGAGAGGTCTTCTGTGCCATATGGGCCAATTCCTTGGTCAGAGATCCAACTCATGCTATAGTGGCTAAGCATAGCTTCACAGAGCTGTGCCTTGACCCGCTGCACCACCAGGGAGGGCCACGCTATTAAATTTAATTTGAGTCCACAAGACTTTTTATAAAGGTGGCAAATGAGCATCTTCTTAGAAATCCCCAAGACAACTTTGCCAGGATAATCTCATAAAAATAATATAATCTAAACTATAAGAAATGAAGAGAATTCTAGAAAGGTGGATTTTGTAAGCTCTCATTTGAATAGTATAGTTTCTTCTTTTCCATTAAGCTTAAACAATTTCAGTAGAAGTTTTCTAAAACCTTTGCTTATATTTTTTCCTTCTCTGCCCACAAAGATTTCTTCTCTTTAAAGTCTTTTAGTCTAGAAAAACAACTAGGTGGTTTCTCACCATTGTCTCTTTGATTTAGACATGGAAGAGCCTGAAAAACCCCTGTGCCATGTGTCTATTTTAGTCAAGATGCTACAGTTCACATGTTAGATTTCACTGTCAACCATAACCACCTGAGGTAAATGCTAACAGCAAAATTAAAGAATTGCCACAATGGTGGGTGACCATGTTGAAAATGAAAAGGATGTTTTTACAAATCTACTACTACCAAGTACAGAGTTGGGGAGATGACATCCAAAAATCATATATCCAGTGATATACAGTAAAAGAGGGAAGCTCATGTAATAGCATACAGTCCAAGCCCCCAAGGAGTACAGAGATCTCTGTGAATATGTTCACAGAGATTTTGCACTATTTCATGCACAATGAGAACATTTTGCACTATTTCATGCACTATTGAACATTTTGCACTATTTCATGCACAATGAGAACAAAAATGTCTATACAATAAGACAAAAATTTTTGATAAGGGAAAGAAAATTTATTCCTATCATTCTGGTAGCTTTTTTGTAGTTTAATAGTTCATTACAGGTACACAAATGATAAAAAAAGGTGGGAATTACTAGTTGAAATAAAATCCAGATTGTTAGGAAACATAATCTGTGCATCAAAGAATCAACAGGAAGGTGCCTCCAACATCCTCCTAGACTCCCTGCAGCATAATCTGCTATGCTCTGAAGAGGCCAGGGTAGGTACAGCTGGAGCGGTAAGCAAGGGGAGGCCACAGTGAAACTGGTGAGATCCAGTCTTGAAAGCTTTCAGAGCAAGCCACGTGGACTCCAAAGAATATATCTGCAGGAATTGGGCCTGAACCAATTGATACATAACTGCTCATTCTAGAGAATAAGGTGACTGCGGAAGGAAACAGATATTGATTGGGATTTAGTAAGTTTATTTTTCCTGAAATAAGTTCTTCACTTACTAATATCTTGATTTTTAAAGATGTAACCTTTAAGATAAAGTAAATGAAAGAATTGGAGTTGTGTAGTTACATGGACTAAAAGAGAGAGTAAACAGCTTGTAAAAACAATGGGAAATAACCAACATCATGTCCTTCCAGATTCCAATGGGAGTTAGGTAGGGGGAATGGGAAGGGCCTGAGCTGTGTGCCTGGGGCATTTGTGGGAGGGAAAAGGGCCAAGAAGAAATGGAATTGTAGAGGTAATGACTGTTTAGTGTCAGCTTTGTTTAGCCTCAAATAGGAAGAGACCAGTAGGAGGAATAAATGGCTGGCTAACATCAACTCCTGACAGGGAAGGAACCAGTCAAAGGAATGGAATGGTTGTTCATTGTTATTTTGTTTACTCTCAACTGAGAAGGGAACCAAAGAGAGGTCTTCATCAATGTGTTTAAGAGAGGGTCAAGTAGAAAGGGAACTTCAGATTATTAGATAAAAAAAATTTAAGATCACAGGCAACATGAAACAACTTGATCTTGGCAGTTTGTTCATTGGTATTTTACTACATTTAGGAAATCATCAATAAGCGTTAATCTGTTAAACTACATATACCAGTAGGAAACTGATTAATTTTCATTTAGAGATTAAAGGAATATGTTTCACTTTCAAAGAAAATTATGAAAAGTGCTTTTTTGAAATAATTCTCCCCATGCCAGCTAAAGCCACTAATAAACCACCACTCATTCTTTCCTGAGCATAGCTAACACTCTTACACAGAAGACACTGTGAAAACAAATTCTTCATTTATCTTAGACACACAAACACATGCCCTCTCTCTGATATCACGATGTTTCCATATAATGTCTAATTTTTAAAAAAAATTTTTTCAGGGGGTAGCTTTTAAAATATTTTTTATTGAGCTAATATTGGCTTATGCCACTATAGAGAGCTCGGGTACACAACATTATAACTGTATTCTGATTGCCACCAAAAGCCTAGTTGCTTTTCTTTTCTTTTTTAAAGATCCATTTATCTATGCACCCAAGAATCAGGGTATAGGCCAGAGGTGGAGGTGGGGTTGGGGTGAGTGGGGGGTTTGAGAGGATTCACCAGAGACAGAGTGGAGAGCGGAACAGGCTGACTGAATGAAATACATTGCTGAGGGGAATAGAGGGTGGACAGGAGATATCTGCTGTGCCATATTGGTCACCTCTTTGGTGGGAGATCGAACTCTGTGCTGCAGTGGCTGCAAACAGCCCCCTAGTGCTGTGCTTCAACCTGTTGTGCCACCAAGGAAGGCCCCCTAGTTTCTCTTTTTTACCATGAAATTGACCCTTTTTACCTGAGAGTTCCATCTCCCTGAGCCTATGTCATCTTGGATTGTTTTATGCCCCCAGTTATTCAGCCCTGTAATAACACTGAATCTTTAAGAAACAGTTTAGAGGCAAAAAAGACCCTTGAATTAGGCTTTGCTAGTTTGTGTGCTTATGCTTGCAGGATAAACTCAGTCATTTAAAGGTGGGAGAATCTGGATGCTCAGATGTATAAGATTGGAGATAAATACACCTAACTCTTGGGTCATTATATACATGTTTGTGAAAGCTGAACTGATTAACTGTAACTGGCTGACTTCTAGCATAATATGTATGTATTAAGGATAGTTTAAATTTTTTTTGTTTTGATTTGGAGTGAATTTAGCCAGCAAACTACTCTTTTCATATACACTTATCTAATTATTTATGCCACTCCCTCTCCATCTTCATGCATTTTATCACAAAAATCCATCCCCGCCCCCATTCCCCTATCCAGGACAGGGATTTATTTTGTAGTCAGGAGAAAGCTTTATACAAATTTGGCTATCCACTGATCAGATTGAGCCTGAGAGGCATGGGAACCCCAGCTGACAGGGTCACTCTTCATCTGACATGCTGTGCAGGAGACACACATCCAGTCTACATAGCTAATTAGAAATATCTTTTCTTCTTTAGCTAGAGTAATGTTTCTGGGGATATGAACTGAATGGAATGTTGAAATATTTGCAAC